TACCAACATGTCCTGACAATCAGGAGCATCATGTGCCAGTTATACACCTTCTTTAGTAATGTGTTAAAATGTGCCACATGTTCGGCTTAGATCGTTACGAAATAAATCCAAATTACTTTTAGGGACGGAACATATCTCAACATGTTTCCAGAAAGGTCCCAGTTATTCATTATTCATGCGAACATGTTTTCACCATATTTTATTTTTCTTGGATCCTGTGACATTTCTTTCCTCGTGTAAGATAAATAATTAAAGTTTAGCTCCGGAGGCTGAGTGGAAGCAGAGCTTTCATAGAAAGAAAAAAAGGAGCATCATCTTTCCACCGTCCTTTGTCTTCCAAGGAGGAAGGACAAAGGCAGCGTTTCCTCTCTGGTGGAGCAATAACGGTTCTGCAGCTCGTGCACACACAAATCACCCCCCAGCACCAGCAATGTTCGGAGGACTGAGCTGCAGAATCTGCATTTTTCTCTGAGCGCTCGGCACACAGGCAGGATCTGTTGTTAGTGCTGGTAATAAATTACATCCTGCTGTAAAACTGACACATCACCTGGAGCTGCAGAGCTGCTCCCAACACCAGCCGAGCCTGCAGAACCAGGTCCAGGCAGGGTCAGCTCGTTTATCTGCCCTCTGCACTGAACGCAGAGATGTTGGAGCTCAGACGTGTTTCAGACGGGGTGATGCTTCAGGATGTGATTCCTGCTTGAAGCTTTTTACCATCTCAGGGTTTCTGCTGCCCTCCCCCCTCTTCCTCCTCCTCTTCCTCCATTCTTCCTCTCAGGGTGTGCTGAGGTGGCCTTTCATTAGGTCGGTGCTGCCACAGGAAAAACACAAGCTCGCCTCAAATATCAAACTGAGCTCCGGTTGCCAGCAGCTCCAATTTAACAGTCTGAGAAATGTCAGAGTGTCACATCTTTTCAGTTTCCTGCTGCGGGTTTGTCCTCCAAGTCTCTCATTATTCAAGAACCTCCTGTAAAAAGAAGAAGATAAAAGTCCCATTTCCTCCTGGTGATGTTTCTGCTTCTGAATCCATGAAGAGAAATGTGTTTAAACCAAAACTGACACGAAAACCGAGCTGGTGAAATTAGAACAAGAACAACAACAACAATAATAATAGTACTACAAGTATGGTGTGTAGTATACTAGATATACTTATACTTAGCTTAAAGTGTCCTTGCAAAAATAAACTTCAAATGTACTACTTTTTGTTAAGGGCTAAAATTAACTAAAGCTGAAACTAGTAACACAAAAGTTAAAATGAGCAGAACTATAGCTGAATGCTATAACCATCAAAACAGTTGCTAAAAACTACAACTAGCAAGCCAGTAGTCCAAAGCTAAATCCAGCACAACAGTAGCTGAGAGCTAAAATTCGCTAAACAGTAGCAGAAAGCTAAGACAGCACAAAGAGTAGCCGAAACCTAAGACCATACAAACAGTAGCTAAAAACTAAGATCATACAAACAGTAGCCAAAAGTTAAGACAGTACAAACAGTAGCCAAAAGCTAAAACCATAAAAACAGCAGCTTAAAGCTAAGACCATACAAACAGTAGCTGAAAGCTGAGATCATACAAACAGTAGCTGAAAGCT